TAGCAGAACCCTCTACATTTACCACCTAAAAACAACAGGAGGTTAACACACACAACTACTGGAGTCTGATGACGCTTGAATTACATATACTCTGCACGACTGGGAAAGGGTCACGTCTCCGATATCAGTCCAATAATTTGTTAACCTGGCTTCCTAAACTTTTAACGGAAGCTGCTTTGCTGCTGCTACAGTTCAAATTCCCCATTGATGCGTTAGATACCTGGATCGTTTAAGATCCTGGCATACTGGAATATGTTGTAGCTCAGAGATGGTATGCATTCCGAGGTGATATAATGAAAAATAGAAGTGGTTCTTCGGAAAAGTCGAGTTGTGCTCGTGAATTTTCGAGCTGGTGACACCAACCCGTCGTCAGACGTAATGAAAACGAGGGAGAAAGTTATGTTGTCACAGTAGTTCAGTTAGTGTGATAGGACAGGACAAACCACTGACGTGTGAGGGGGGTGGGGTGGGGTGGGCTCCCGAGGTCATGGTAGGTCACTGAGTGAGGGTCGGGGAAGGGAGAGTAGGCGGAACAATTACGGCGCACCGTGCTGGGGGGGAGGGAGGTTGGGTGGTGAATCCGTTGGAATGCGGGCGGCTGTATTCGCGGTCGTTGATGCGTGATTACGGCAGGGGGCAGTCATTCACGTTGCCCACAAATGGGCATCTTCACTACGCGCAGCACTATCTCAAGTAAGGGATCCCATCGCTAAAGAGCAACAAACAAACGTAATTTATCGCATCCCGTGTGGTAATTGCTCTTACGTGTATGTTGGACATACAGATCGATGCCTGGGCACCCGTATCAACGAACACAAACTAGCTATCCGCCGGCGAGACCCCTGTCCATCGTCTTTGCCTATGCACTCGAGTACGACCACCGATTCAATTGAGATGGAACTGAGGTCGTCGCCCTGGCTAACACAAAGCGAGCGAGGGAATTTCTCGAGGCTTGGTACTCCAATGCGGGTAGTAACAACCGCCACGTTGACTTAGATGCCCACTGCGACGTTCTACATTCACGAAGGGCTGCCCTCTGCCCTAATCACGCATCAACGACCGCGAATACAGCCGCCCGCATTCCAACGGATTCACCACCCAACCTCCCTCCCCCCCAGCACGGTGCGTCGTAATTGTTCCGCCTCCTCTCCCTTCCCCGACCCTCACTCAGTGACCTACCATGACCTCGGGAGCCCACCCCACCCCACCCCCCCTCACACGTCAGTGGTCTGTTTTGTCCTATCACACTAATGGGTCTACTGTGACAGCATAACTTTCTCCCTCGTTTTCATTACGTCTGACGACGGGTTGGTGTTACCAGATCGAATATTCACGAGTACAACTCGAATTTTCCGAAGAACATCTTCTATTTTTCATACTGGAATATGTTCAAAGGCTTACAAGTATATTACTAAAAAACCGATAATACTATCCTACTCGCCCCATGAATTGCCTCTGTTCTATGTGGCATAGGAGTAGTAATTTGAAACCTTGGATTCGTCAATGATTGCGTCTTTTAAAACTTGAACAGACTTTGTAAGCCCCGACGTCACAGCTAACTTTCTTGCAAAAATTATTTCGTAGGCAGACGTCGGGTTTTGCTGCTAGATAACACAACGAGAACAAACACTCTGAGACAGTCATGAAGCCACACTTTTTGGTTAATTATGATCCGAAATTTAAGAAATTCCAGAGCTGCTTGCATGCTATCGCACGGTACACTTTTAAACCGAAAATATAGCTAATGACTTTTAAAGGAAATATAGTGCTACATTTTGTGGATGTGAAAGTATACAAAAGTATTGGCCTTTGGGTCTGCGACTCTTTATCGCATTAGCGAATACAACAGTTGGTCTGGCAATGCTCGTTATGTTAATATGGTTTTTGAAATCCCCGTCTATCGGTTAGAATTCGTAACTTGGTAACTTACACAGTGACATGTTGAAGAAGAAAGATGATTTGACGTAGGCTTAAGACCTCATGAATTCCGCGCACTGTTGCTTGCTCATTGCTAAAATTTGTCTATCGGGATATGTTTGAATTCCGGTCTGCTGGATCGCCTTTTGCGCATTTTCTGCGAACGCATTACTGTAATGCCGTTAATGGCGGTGAAATGGCAATTGCCTATGTGAAATTAGCATAAAGCAGCTTATGAAAAAGGTCTGCTGCACAATGTCAGATGGGTGCGGGACTGAGTGGGCTGACGGGCGTAGCTTAGGCGATGCGATGCCAAAAACGCTGAAATTACGGACCTCGATTTGGCGCAGGTCGATATATATTTTCGCACACTAAATACGTGAAACTAGATGGTACGGAATGTGTGAGCACATAGTGCGACAGACTGCGTGCACATACTGCGTCTACTTCATAAGGCATGAGTCACAATTTAACGGTACGCATAAACGATTGAGTACACATTCAACTTTACTACCGTAAGGGTGTCAGCTTTTAACGGGTTGAATACATCTATTGCATATATATTTTGTACGGTCACTCCTTGACTAAAGGGGGATGCGAATTTGAGAAGATAGAGTAGATCGTTGGTCGAATCAGGTTGGGTGTGTGTGAGCTTGTGTGTGTGAGCCTGTGCGTGTGTGTGAGCGTGTCTTACGAAACCCGTTTGCAGGAGACTACGTCATTTCCTCGACAGCGCCTACAGCAGAAACCATGAATCATAATTTTATTTCCTCCTCGAAACTTCTGCATTTCACTTAGCCGAGCCCCACGCCGCATCAGCAGCCGCTAATCCAGGCGCCCGCAGTTCTGCCAACCTACCGTACTCCCTCCCCTCCAACACGGCAGCCGTAACGATTCCCCCCCCCCCTTCCTACCCTCCCGGCTCAGAACCCAGCATGACTCCCTAACCGCATCCCTCCTCACACGCTAATAGTTCGTCCGCCAATGTTTGTCCTGTCTCGTCTATAAGTCTAGCGTGAATGTCTCACTCTCTCTTTTCTCTTCATTTCGTCTGACGACGGGTTTGTGTTAAAAATTAGAAAATTCACCAGTAAAAATCGATTATTTCCGTAGAACCTCTTACTTTTTCATTATATCGTCTCGGAATGCCTACCACTTCTACTCTATATATATATATATATATATATATATATATATATATATATATATATATATATGATAGAAGCGAAGATGCGCGTCCCCGGACATAAATAAGAAGAAGAGGCGGTCTCGGGAACCATAGTTATATTGCCCTGACGTTTCAAAATCAAACAAGATTTCATCGTCGGAGGTGAGTTTTGTAGCACGCCTCACAGTATATAAAGGCGGTGACGATCGTGTTACAACGGGTTTGCGTCTATTCGGGGGCTGTCCTTTGGACGCTAGCTGTCATCGCATGTGTTTGCATTGACCTTAGCTCTCGTCCTAGGCTGGCAATCTTATTTGTCACCCTGCAGTCACTTGTGTTCTCACCTGCCGCATGAGTGGCAGTGATGCTAGCACCTTCATCGGATCCCTTGGCGTTACTGCGATCGTTCGTCCTCACACCTGCCAGATAAGTGGACGACGCGGCTGTAGTGACGATCGCACCTTCGTCAGATTCGGGTTGAAGTACAGCTGCGCGTGTGGCCCCCATGGACTCGGCCGTACTTGGGTTTCTGTCTTGTCGCAGCCTGACTCTACTCTTCTGTTCACTAAGCTGCGTCCGGAGGGCCTGGTAAGCCTCAGGAAGCGCTACGCTTCGGTTGATGGAGTTCGCGCCAGTGTGCCAGGCCTCGATTGTTTCCCTCGTGATGCGGTCATTTCCCCGGCCCAGGATTTCAGCATTCTGGAAGGCGAACGTGTGTCCAGAGTTTGCGCAGTGTTCTGCCACTAGAGACAACGGGTCCATCCGCCTAACTGCCCTCATATGCTCTGCAACACGGGTGTGCAGTCGTTTGCCGGTCTCTCCAATATAATTCATATCACAGGAACTGCACTGGATCCGATAAATGACGTTTGATGTTTCGCCGCGTGGCAGAGGGGTCTTAGGTCTCATGACCAGATTTCTAATTGTTGACTCTGGCCGATGGGCAATGCCAATCCCCAGTGGTCTTAGCAGACGGGAGACCGCCTCAGAGACGCCGTCAATGTAAGGAAGCGCCCGCCAGATTTTTGGCCGTTCTGTCACCGAACTTCGGCTTGGACCAGGCTGCCTGTTGCGTTCTATGAAGTTACGAGGATAGCCGTTCGCCAAGAAGAGGCGCTGGAGGTTACGTAATTCTAACCTTATGTCGTCAGGCTCGCTGCATTGTGTTTCTGCCCTTTTGTACAGTGTTCGTACACAGCTGCGTTTGTGGGATAACGGGCGCTTGCTGTGGTAGCTGAGGATTTGGCCTGTATTGGTGGCTTTCCTATACACCGTTGTTTTAAGGTGGCCACTTGGTTTCCGATGAACCAGTACGTCCAGGAACCGCAGTTATTTACTGCTTTCCGCCTCCATTGTGAACTGGATATCAGGGGAGACAGAATTCAGGGCATTGTGAAATTCTTGAACCATTTCCCGCTTGATGATGAGAAAGGTATCATCGAAATACCGAGCCCAAAATGTTGGCCTGTAGATCTCAAAAACTGCGGTCTCCACTTTTTGTACCACTGCTTCTGCTATGAAGCCCGAAAGCGGTGATCCCATCGGTGTCCCCTTGATCTCTTCATATGCTCTCCCTCCGAACGTAAAGAACGTCTTCAGGCAGAACTTTAACAGTTGAATGAGATGTCTCCATTTCACGCTTTCGCTCGTCTCGTCGTACTTTCTTTCGAGCAGTTCGCCAACCGTTTCGACTGCTAGCCATTGCGGGATCAAAGTAAAGAGAGAGGTGACGTCGAATGTGTACGAACACTGTACAAAAGGGCAGAGACACACTGCAGCGAGCCAGACGACAAAAGGCTAGCATTACGTAACCTCCAGCGCCTCTTCATGGCGAACGGCTATCCTCGTAACTTCATAGAACGCAACAGGCAGCCTGGTCCAAGCCGAAGTTCGGTGACAGAACGGCCAAAAATCTGGCGGGCGCTTCCTTACATTGACGGCGTCTCTGAGGCGGTCTCCCGTCTGCTAAGACCACTGGGGATTGGCATTGCCCATCGGCCAGAGTCAACAATTAGAAATCTGGTCATGAGACCTAAGACCCCTCTGCCACGCGGCGAAACATCAAACGTCATTTATCGGATCCAGTGCAGTTCCTGTGATATGAATTATATTGGAGAGACCGGCAAACGACTGCACACCCGTGTTGCAGAGCATATGAGGGCAGTTAGGCGGATGGACCCGTTGTCTCTAGTGGCAGAACACTGCGCAAACTCTGGACACACGTTCGCCTTCCAGAATGCTGAAATCCTGGGCCGGGGAAATGACCGCATCACGAGGGAAACAATCGAGGCCTGGCACACTGGCGCGAACTCCATCAACCGAAGCGTAGCGCTTCCTGAGGCTTACCAGGCCCTCCGGACGCAGCTTAGTGAACAGAAGAGTAGAGTCAGGCTGCGACAAGACAGAAACCCAAGTACGGCCGAGTCCATGGGGGCCACACGCGCAGCTGTACTTCAACCCGAATCTGACGAAGGTGCGATCGTCACTACAGCCGCGTCGTCCACTTATCTGGCAGGTGTGAGGACGAACGATCGCAGTAACGCCAAGGGATCCGATGAAGGTGCTATCATCACTGCCACTCATGCGGCAGGTGAGAACACAAGTGACTGCAGGGTGACAAAGAAGATTGCCAGCCTAGGACGAGAGCTAAGGTCAATGCAAACACGTGCGATGACAGCTAGCGTCCAAACGACAGCCCCCGAATAGACGCAAACCCGTTGTAACACGATCGTCACCGCCTATAAATACTGTGAGGCGTGGTACAAAACTCACCTCCGACGATGAAATCTTGTTTGATTTTGAAACGTCAGGGCAATATAACTATGGTTCCCGAGATCGCCTCTTCTTCTGATATATATGTATATATACTTTCCACCGAGTTTAATATGCCTATTACACCATATTAAAGTCAAACAATGCGTAATTTGTTGATTAAAGCTAAAACGTCTTAACAGATTAAGTACTTGTCACATAAAGCATTTGATATACTAAAGGAAAATTCTTGATGCATAAATATATCTGCATTGCAACCGCGTATGTTTAAACTGGTGTGGTCGACCAGACAGATATTCCCAATCAATCGTCAGGGAAGACGGAGTGATTTCGACAACTTTTACTCTTTTGGAAGTGCGTACACAAAGGCTTTGTAGGCAGTCGCCGCGAGTGCGAGTGCCCTTCGAGCAAGTTGCTGTCTGTGTCCGCATTCGAGGTGCCGAGAACTATAGCGCGTCTGCGCCGTTCGTTGTCTCGGCGTCCTCCAGCCAATCAGGGGGGGACAGAGTTGATTGGCCTGTAGCACTCGCGAAGCTAACGCTTCCTCTAAGCGTATCGACAAGGGGTTAGAAGCGGTCAGAAATGAAGCGTAGCTAAGGCTGTGGACAAGGAGACACGAACATCCACACTACACTCCGGCTAGACCGAAGGTGGCGATCTGCGACGCCGGACGAATTGCTGATGAAAAAGAAGCATGGTTGTCAGGGAAAGAGCTTTATTAGCCTGGAGTTTCGGATTCCTGCTCGAATCCATCATCAGACGCAAGAGCAGATAAGGGTGGTTCAAGCGCATGCGGCTGCAATATTTATAGAATGCAGTAGCCATGCTACCGCATACCTATGAATATTTACGAATACTACCTTCATCAGAGATCGTTGCACATGACGTGATGGCCGGCAGTATGTGGATGATACCTTCGTCGTTATCGACGGGGATCAACTGCGAACATTCAAGGAACATCTGAAGGCGGTGCTCACGGGCACACAATTTACGATGGAGGAGGAAGAGCCCAACCAGCCGGCCTTCCTGGATGTCCTCGTATGCCACATGGATTGTGGTGGACTAAAGACAAAAGTGTTCATGAAAGAGTCAAATGCGATGCAAGTACTGAACTTCGACAGCAAACACCCAATAAGCAACAAACTCAGTTGTGTAAGGATGGTTGTTCGTAGCCCTGCCTACGGATTCTACAGTTGTACCTACTGAATCGATCTCAGTATCTGTGATTACGCGTGCTTCTCTATCAACCGAGGAAAAGAAAGAGTATTGTTGTTCATGTTTTAAGAAAAATATATTTGAATTGACAAGGTCATGGAAAAGCAATGTGTTAAATGCGTGCTACATAAGTAGCCATTTTTCACCAAGTACGGACCCCACAGTACATTGAAACGAAGTACATTTGAAAGCCGACATCCCATCTAGTCCAAAATACCAAAGGATTATGCCACGGGATAACCAATATTACAACCCCACCTAAGTAACACTTTCTCATCGAAAACGCCTTTAATAATGTTTGCCAACATTTCATGAGATCGGTCACTCACTCTACATACCATTGGCTATTTCAATACATTATAAATGACATGCTCCGCAGACTAGAAATGAGAAATGGCCAACAACCTCATCGTCCGCATATTTGCCAAGTAGACAATCATTAAGCGATTTTAAATTGCAGGTGTAAAAGAAAAAAAGAGAAGATGAAACCTTGAAGATCGCCACAATCATTGGGAGGAGCGGATACTTTTGCCTGTTAAATAAGGTAAATTGGCTGCGGTTAGTAAAAAATCAGCGCCTCCAGAAACAACGTCAGCATTACTGGCGACATTCGAATCGAATGCAGATAGCTTATGTCAGGGCTTGTGGCATGGTTTCGCAAAATCTGTGTAATTTATTTTTAGTTGGCCTATCAGATGGGTCACATGCCGACCCACAATATCGACTTGTGGTGTTGGATGATCAGCGAGCTTACACGTCGTAGGACGATGTCGGGAATGAACCCCGAAATTGGTATTCTCTTCGGCCAGTGGAAGATTTGTCCTTCAAGTTAAAGTACGTCCTGATACTGAATTTCAGGTTTTGACGGATTTTGGCATTTCTAAGAGCAATTCTACGCTTAATTGAATTTGCTTTATAGGCGTAGCTCGTGGGCTAGATTGAAAATCCTGGGTGACAAAAATTAATAGGATGTGATGTCCCAAGATTCTAACGCGTCATTTGATAAGAGACTTACCTCGTCACGTTCACCGAGACATTTGTAGACGAGCAGGTCGTTTCGTCCAACTCAGTGCTGAAAACTTTGATATGATGAAAAAACCAGTTCGCCAGTGTACACTTTGGAGTCCCTATAAGCAATACGGTAAGCCGGAAAGGCGTGAAACATGGAGAGGGCATGGAACCAGGGCCAAGGCCGTTTTGACATTTTGAAAGTGGAACACGACGGTGGAACACGACTTGTCCGCGGACACGATGATGGCCTTAGTGAATTTGCTTATTTATTCATCGAGTTTGACATTTTGGAGTATTTCGCGTGACCTGTAGGTCATAAGTACGGAGGACACTAGGTGTCAGTCTACTTCCCATGGTTGCATCACGGCTTTTAACTGCTACTGCAATTGCTTTAAGTGTGCAATAAAAACTTCTATTGATGAAATCGATCGAGATAATTGAGCTGTTACTGCAAAGCAACTACGATGAAACGGAGAACCTGAAGCTATGTCTCAGGACGTACTTCACGTTCGACGGGACAATGTACGTACAGGTAAAGGGCACACCAATGCGTTCGCCGATTTCGGGATTCATAGCCGAGGCGGTCCTGCAACGGTTAGAGTCGCTGGTCTTCCAACACCACAGACCGAAGTTCTGGCCCCGGTATGCGGATGACACCTTTCGTCGTCATCGAACGGGATCAAGTGCTGACATTCAAATAACATCTCAACGCCATTTTCCCGGACAGACACTTTACGATGGAGGAGGAAGAGAACTAACAGCTGGCCTTCCTGGATGTCCTCGTATGCCGCAAGTATTGTGGTAGATTAAAGACCAAACTGTTGAGAAAAGCGACAAATGTGATGCAAGTAATGAACTTCAACAGTAACCATTCAAACCGCCACTAACGCAGTTCTGTAAGGACGGTCTATCGGCGTGTCGAAACGCACTGCAGTGAGGCGGAAGACAAGATTGCCGAATAACAATACCTCCGACTTCTCCTAGGTGGAGTACATGGCCACGGGGGGAGACCACAGGTGAACACTCTTCCCAACACAGAACGGTCTGACTCGAGGGCGCGCCAGCCAGTGGAGAGGCTTTATGACGTTACTGACTGCGCGATAGAGAAAAACGCATGTGTGCTCTAGTGATCATTTGGCTCTTGGTTTTTGGGAATGTAGGCAATCCCAACAAGAGCTATGTAGTAACAAATCTGTCAATATTTCCAAAATAAATATGTTAACGTTCCTGGTTTGCATGCTTGTGTTACAGAGATTAACGAAACGGATGTCCCAGTTAGTGAAACAGGCATACGTTTCAGATTGAAAAGCATAATATATTATATGCAGCGCACTATCAATCAAAGAAGTCATCATCTGCTAAATTTCTGTTTAGACTACAAATGCCAGCAAAGTCAGTTTTATTTACATTGTACAACCGCACATCAGTTTCACAACACATTTATGCAACAAACATCTGAGTTTGCTAGCAGATGGAAAAGTACAGAAAACAGTTAGGATATTGCTTATGCCAAAGAACGCAGGTGACACATTTCTCATATTGGCAAATACCAGCGAATATTTTCTTACGCAGTAGCAAATGACTATGAGCTTCCGTCTTAAAACTAGTCAGAGGTCAAGATGAGGGAATGTGTTCTTCGGCTGCCAATTGTCATGCAAATCCACAGGTGTAATTAGACTTCCTACACACAAATCCTGGCTATCGCATATATGGTGCGTGACCGATCTCATTAGATGTTGGCCGAAAGTCTGAATGCGTTTTAGCTTAGGAAGGATGACTTAGGCACGACTGTAACATTGATCATCTTGTGACATCATCTTATAACATTTCAGACTCGGCAGGATGTCATCTTTTAAATGTACTTCTTATCGCCATCCTGTGGAAACCGTACTCGGTAAAGCATGACTGCTTATGCAGCATTCATTTTACCAAGATATTTTCGATGTTTTTGCAAATTCAAATATACTTAATGAAAAACATAAATTAAACATTTTTTTTTAGTTTACTCATATGATAGAGAACCACGTCGTCGTTTTATTGAATACTTAAAAAAGGAGTTTAATCAGGGTTTTTCAAGGATGTGTAAAGTCCATTCACATATTATCGTATCCGTCCGTTTAACAGAGTTCCTCATGAAATGTACAACATTGATCGTATCCACTGCAAAATTTAATAAACTCCATAGAGTATCATTTCAAAGGCATAGAAGAATATATGACTTACCATATACGGAATTCGTAAACCTTGCAGACTGAAATCACTTAGCACTAATTCAACGACTAATCAGGCCCAAAATTATTTGGAAATTACAAAACATTTCCAAACCCAACTTATACTCCTTCTCCTCGTTGACATCAAGTGCCATAAATTGATTGACCCTAAGACTTCTTTACACTGTAAGTGTTCTAACCGTGCACTTTCATCACCGTATCCACGCATTTTCACAATCCCTTCGTCTACTTCCTATCATCGTTTACTTTCGGAATTTCCATCTTTCGCACGACCCTCACAATTTAACCAACCTATCAAGCATTCTGTTGTACATTATATTTAAACTACTAGACCACCCGTGTTAAGCCGTCCCTGTTGTTTGGCCGCCGATAAGTTAGCCAAAGCCAAGGCTGAATTCAGTCACATGATGGACCTAGGTATAACCAGGCCTTCCACTCGTCCATGGGCTGCACCTCTACATATGGTGTGCAAAACGT